CTTTGAAACTGTTTTTCTGATACATTAATGAGATTATTTACATTAAGCTGGTCACATCCATGTGTGTATCCAAAGAACCTAAGAGCTGATCCCAAACCACTAAATACATAGTAGAAATGCATACATGCAGGGGCCGACTGACCATTTGGAAACTCGGGCACTGCCCGAGGGCCCAGGGTCAGTAGGGGGCCCCATGAGATGCCCCTGGTACCTTTTTCATAGGCTTTTTTGAGTTTGGGCAAGGACACGGGCCCAGGGGCAGACTGACAACTCATGGGGCCCCCGGGCAATAGGGGATCATGGGGCCCCTGTGTCCTTGCCCAACCTCAAAAAAGCCTATGAAAAAGGTACTAGGGGCATCTCATGGGGCCCCCTACTGACCCTGGGCCCTCAGGCAGTGCCCGAGTTTCCAAATGGTCAGTCCGCCCCTGCAGGGGCCCCATGTTTCCCTTTTGCCCGGGGGCCCCCCCTTGAGTTGTCAGTCCGCCCCTGCATACATGTGAGCTTTCTTCTTCTGTGAAATTTGTAATACTTTTTGGCCTGTCGAGTGTACTAGCCCCCCTGCTAGTAAGCAAAGCCAGATCCTTTACTTCTAGTGCAGTTAGGTAGAAAAGTTTTGTCAAGGACCCACCCTCAGACTGCTGATTGGACAAAGAAGGGGAAGCAGAACACAGACGACATCATATCTCTCGCATCCTGTAACCATGTTTACAGTATTAGACTGACAACAAAGTGCAAAGTAATAGAGCCTTGAATGGTTCACAGGGCTGACCCCCCCTTCTCCCAGTCTGAGTGCTGCTGTGCAGGAGATTATGGCAAGCTAAAATAAATATAGTATTCTAATGCTTTAGCTCAGTGTTTCTCAACATTTTTTCAGTCAAGGTGCTCTTTAAACTTCTGTACAATCTTGAGGCACCCCATTCTAGTGTGCCAATGTTTCTCTTCTCATCCCAGCTTCTCTCCAATCAGCTAATGTGACCCCAGTGCTGACAGAGAGGGGCATGCAGGGATGCTGTGCAGGCACCCAATGTCCTTCTTATCAACCGATTACATAATTGGCTAGAAGGTTGTAATGGTGCACAATGAAAACCTATGGCTTTGTGTAACTAACCGGTAGGCTTGAACCACCTGCTGGCTTATATACCATTTTTGGGCAGCTGTTAGGATTTTTGCAAATGCACCCATGAAAAGACCTGAAGGCACCTCGGGGTGCCAGGGTACCCTTGTTGAAAAGGCTACTTTAGCTGTTTAAACTGACATTAAACATGAATTTATGACTGTTTTTTCTATCTGAATAATGTTCAGCTTTAAAATAATAGAGATTCCATTGAAAGAATTTAATACCAGTTCTGCTTTCCAAAGTTACAATACACTAACTAATAAACCAATGATATCCTGTCTCTCTATCAGTACCCATGCAAGGACAGACATACAATACAAACAGTTCTGATACAATTGTCCAATAAACTGACGACGTATGAGCAACAGACTACAATCAACGTCACCGTTAGGATGTCAGTCCACTGAGGCTGGAAAATTGTCTAATGATGTCAGTTGTTCTCTGATGAGTGTACAGCCAAAATCCAACACTGTGCCCATAATTCCTTATAGCAACTTTCATATGCACTGTCCATGTGTGACAGATGAACAGTGACCATGTGAGGTCCTGCTGTAGTTATACATTGTCCTGAGATTGTAGTTTATCTATCTATCTATCTATCTATCTATCTATCTATCTATCTATCTATCTATCATACATCAAACTCTTTCACTCTATATACTGTACATATCTATCTTTCTCTGTCTCTTTCATCTAGCTACCTATTCCATGTAATAGTAATCACTCAATCTTTGCCCTATCCTGGTCTCTTTCAGTCTTCCTCTCCCCCTCTCTCATCTATCTATCTGTATCGCTTTTATCTATCTATCTACTGTATCTATCCCATATACATCAAGCCCTCTGTATCTGGGTCTCTCTCTGTCTTATCCATCTCATATATCTATCTATTTCATGTCACTCAAACTCCAGATATCACTCTTTCATATCTATCTATATCTATCTCATATAAATCAAGTTTCTCTATCTGTGTATCAGGATCTATCTATCAATTTATCTATCTATCTATCTATCTATCTATCTATCCTAAATAGAGAGAAAAGTTTGATTTATATGAGATAGATAGTTAGATAGATAGATAGATAGATAAAAGTGCTAAAAGAGCTAGAAGATAGATAGATAGATAGATAGATAGATAGATAGATAGATAGATAAAAGTGATAATTTAGATAGATAGATAGATAGATAGATAGATCTATATATATCACTTTTATCTATCTATCTATCTATCTCACTTTATCTATCTATCTATATATACTTTATCACCTTTCTCTATCTATCTATCCCATATAAATCAAACTTTTCTCTCTATTTAGATATCTACCATCTCTGTCTCTTTCGCCTAGCTTCCTGTTCCATGTAATAAAAATCACTGAAACTCTGGCCCTAGCCAATTATCTGTATCACTTTTATCTATCTATCTCTTTATATCACTTCTAGCTATCTTTTTATATCCAGGTATCACTCTTTCATATCTATCTAAATCTATCTCACATAAATAAAGGTCTCTATCTGTGTATCCGGATCTATCTATCTATCTATCTATCTATCTATCTATCTATCTATCTATCTATCTAACCATCCATAAAAGTGAGATAGATAGATAGATAGATAGATAGATAGATAGATAGATAGATAGATAGATAAAGTGATATAGACAGATATAGATAGATAGATAGATAGATAGATAGATAGATAGATAGATAGATAGATAAAGTGATATAGATAGACAGATAGATAAAAGTGATATATATAGATCTATCTATCTATATCTATCTATCTATCTATCTATCTATCTATCTATCTATCTATCTATCTGTCTGTCTGTCTGTCTATATCACTTTATATCTACTTATTATCTATCTATCTATCTAACCATCACATCTAACCATCCATCCTGGTCTCTCTCTCTTATCTATCACTTCTCTGTCACTCTTTCTACTTACTCTTCATCCTTCCAAACACCCACCTATGTGCAGATGATGCCTCCAGGACATTCAGGCTTATGTTCTGTTGCAGCTGGACAGTGTGTCACTCTTCAGGTCTTCCAGTGGGGTCTTTATGTATGTTTCCCATAGATTCCAATCCTGGACCCTAGCATCTACCTGGTGACTCCATGCTGTACTCCCCAATACCTGACCCTAGCATAGTATTTTTTCTCCTTGAATGTTTCTTCTACCTGGAGTAGTCATTGTCAGGTACATATCAGTATCAGGAATGTGACATTACTGCCACTAATAGATGTATGTGTGTCTGGCCAGTGTGTCCCCAGGCGCAGGCTTTGTAGGTAGGGCGGTCATCAGCAGTCTGGCCATTTTCTAGCCCATATATCACCCTCTCCCACTACAACAGGTGTTTCCAGCAGAACCAGCCCGGCTGTGTAGATGAGCGCCCGGGCCATGAAGGGTTAAGCAGCCCTCCTGCAGAATAGGAGGCGGTCGCCTTTCGGCTGATGTCCCCGGTGTCACCGTGTCCTCTTCATACAGACAAGTTAGGATCGGGGCACAGGACTCATCATAGAGGAAGAGGATCGGAAGCTGCAGAAAGTGAAAGGATTTGTGTCACCTAGAATAAACAAAGCTAGCTGTCATTGTATGGAGGAAACTCTCCTGTGTATGAAACACATGCGGTCATTGTAATCAGCCACTTCTATTGGAGGCAGGAGCCTCCTCTCATCACTCACTGGACTTTTTCAATAGATAAAGATCAGCCATGTAGAAGAACATCAGAGGCTACAGATAGGCAGGCTGGGACTTGTAGTCATCCCAGAACTGGAGGACCCCCCATATGCCTTGTGTGTGGATAGTGCTGTATGTCCCTGTGAGCTCCCAGCTTAGTCCTCACATTCCTTCCATCAATACCATCACCTACCCCAGTGCCCAATCCCAGCCCTTTCCCCAGCTACTTAACTATGCAGAACTAGCACGTCACCCCTGAAGGTGGAACGTATATTAAGCCAATATGTATATAAATGTAGCCAAGAGGCAGGCTGAGCTCTGCAGTGATCAACTAGGAAGCCCATTGAAGACATCAATCATTGTGCTGGAGCAGCCTTGGTGAGATCTATGCATGGTGAGTACTCCTTCTCTCAGCATCAGCCTGAAATAAAATTAAAAAAAAAGCTTCTTTTATTTATTTCTTTTTTTTTAGAAAACACCTGTTCTGAAAGTTTAGGAAATTCCAAAGGGGAATGCAAAGTCATTTATTGTTCTAAATACATTTTGCCCCTTCTGTATTATTACCTATACTCCTTTAGTCTTTCTTCTTAGGGAGTAATAAGGAAACAGCAGGGTGTTTATTAAAGTGGAAATTGCACTCTATAGCCTGCAGCTACCCCCCTTTATCTTTCAGGAATAAATCTTATCAGTCAAAACTTCCTTATAAGAGGCTTTTTCTTTTTTGTAGAAGACTAAATATATCTCTTCCCATAGCATGCCAAATATATAATAAAAACATGAAAGCTGCAATTTTAGCCCTTATAATCATCATAGCTGCCTTCTAAGCCCTGACTATTTATTTCTTCCTAGGCTAAATATAACTCATTTTGGGAGGGGGTCACTTGAATAGATCATCAACTGAACGGTTTTTTTTTTTTCCTTTAATTTGTATTTTTCTAACATTTATTGAAAAGAAGTGCAGATGGAGTTGTCCATGGTTGTAAGACATGTTTGTGTTCTTTTGCATGCTTTTGGGATTTCTACATAGACTAATCAAAGTGTTAAGCATCCCGAAGTGTAGATCCGCCTCCCACTGTCAATTCAAGCACGAAGTGACTGAGGCTTGACTGGCTCTTTCCACAACTAATCACTGTACAGTTGGAGGTGACACTAATTCCACCACAAGATCCTCAAGCTGAAGCCTAGCACTCAGAGGAGGGCAGAAAATGTTTCTGAGTACAGACCTCAATTACATATCATTCTTGGAAGCTGCGATCACATCAGTCTTGTCCTTGGCGCTTCTCCTGGCAGTGTCCCACCAGCTCTGGTCCTTCAGATGGCACAGCACCAGGGACAGGGCTAACAAGCTACCTCTTCCCAAAGGCTCCATGGGCTGGCCATTTTTTGGGGAAACTCTACACTGGCTAGTGCAGGTGAGAACCAATGTGCCTGCTTTCTTTAATCTTTATTTTCTGTTGTCATACCTGAAGTGAAGAACCACCCAAAAGCAGGTAAGGAACCACAAGTCACACTGGCTTGCTTGTTATGCTGATCCTTGTGTCAGAGTTCTGGAGATGTATCACAAGTCCCTCTAGCTTGTTTGCTATACTGGACATTGTGGTTCCACCGGAGTTCTGCCGATGTATCACAGGTCCCTGTAGCTTGTTTGCTATAATGGACATTGTGGTTCCACTCGAGTTCTGCCGATGTATCACAAGTCCCTCTAGCTTGTTTGCTATACTGGACATTGTGAAGGCAGAGATCTGGAGATGTATCGCAAGTCCCTGTAGCGTGTTTGCTATACTGGACATTGTGGTTCCACCAGAGAGTTCTGGAGATGTATCGCAAGTCCCTGTAGCGTGTTTGCTCTACTGAACATTGTGGTTCCACCAGAGTTCTGGAGATTTAGCGCAAGTCCCTGTAGCTTGTTTGCTATACTGGACATTGTGGTTCCACCCGAGTTCTGGAGATGTAGCACAAGTCCCTTTAGTTTGTTTGCTATACTTGATACTGTGGTTCCACCAGAGTTTTGGAGATGTAGCACAAGTCCCTCTAGCTTTTTGCTATACTGGACATTGTGGTTCCACCAGAGTTTTGGAGATGTAGCTCAAGTCTACTTAGCTTGCTTAATATGCTGACCCTTGTGGTCTCACCAGAGTTCTGCCGATGTATCACAAGTCCCTCTAGTTTGTTTGCTGTACTGGACACTGTGGTTCCTCCAGAGTAAGTCTCCTTACCTTGCTTAATATGCTGACCCTTGTGGTGCCATCAGAGGTCAGGAACTATACACAAGTCACCTTAGCTTGCTTGTTATGCTGACCCTTGTGGTGCCACCAGAGGTCTGGAGCTGTACCACAGTCTTCTTAGTTTGCCTGTTATGCTTACCCTTGTGGTGCCACTAAAGTTCTGGAGCTGTACCACAAGTTTCCTTAGCTTGTTTGTTATGTTGGTTATTGAGGTGCCGCCAGAGTTCTGAAGATGTACAAGTTCTCCTAGCTTGTATCTTATGCTGATTATTGTGGTGCCACCAGAGTTCTGGAGGTGTACAAGTCTCCTAAGCTTGTTTTAGTATGTTAGTCATTGTAGTGCCACCAGAGTTCTGGAGATGTAACACAAGTCCCCTTTGATTGTTTTTTATGCGGATCATTGTGGTGCCACCAGAGTTCTGGAGATGTACAAGTCCTCCTAGTTTACTGTTCATTCTGTTGACATCAGAGGTCTAAGGATATACCACACATGCACATGGCTTGTTTGGTATGTTGATCATTGTGGTACCACCAGCATTTTTGAAGATTAAACACAAGTCTCCTTAACTTGCTTGTTATGCTGATCATTGTGATACCACCAGAATTCTGGAGACGTAGCTTGACACTTGAGTTGCCCGTTATCTGTATACCTTATAAATATGAGCAACCAGGAGACTTTTCATTGTTAGGAAAACTACATCTCCCAGCATTACCTTAAGGCACGCTTGGATCTGTAGTTCCACGAACACTTTACAGTTGTGGTTCCACTTCTAGTTGTATGATACCATCTGTCATCTCCAAGACAGATAAGGTGACTTAGAACAAGGGGGATTGTTGAGGCTTTTCCTTACCTGCGTGTCCTTGTGTCCACCATCTCAGGGTTCAGACTTCCACAGCTCCAGGAGGGAGAAGTATGGGAACATTTTTAAAACTCATCTTCTGGGAAAACCACTGATCCGTGTGACTGGCGCTGAGAATATCCGCAAGATCCTGCTGGGGGAGCACCACCTGGTTAGTGCCCAGTGGCCCCAGAGCACCCAGATCATCCTAGGCTCCAATACACTGGTCAACTCCATTGGAGAGCTCCATAGACACAAGAGAAAAGTGAGTAACCTGGGGCTCTGTGCGGAACCTTGTGCCTGATTGATGCAGCCATTGAAGTGTGTCTTCACACTCCAACCATACAGACCCTTCCTATGCTGTGCATGCTTTGTTATCGCCGGTATATGTAATCACTTGTGAAGCCAATACAACCACATGGAAGATACAGGTCTAATCATTTCTAAATATTTCATATATATGTACCAGATCCACATGTGCCATCTAAATTGTCAGGCAGTAGTGATACAATTAAGTAGTAGTGTTATCATATCATAGTAATACATTTCCAGTGAAATAATTGTAACAGATAAAACAATATGTACAGGGGAATAGTTTGGATTCAGAAATACCTTTAGTTTCTGTATTGCCGATCTACAGTCCATCTAGTTATCTTCTGTATTGCATCCAAATGTTCTGAAGTTAAAAGGACTTGAATGATGAAGGTAGAACTTCAGTAGTCAGAATAGACAGCATGGTATGACATTTAATTCCATTATCTGGCACATTTCTGGACTTAAGAAACTTATTGGTGTTTTGGTGGACCTCTTCTCAGCTGAGGACCTCCAGGAGATGTTTAGCCTCAGAATAGGGTCCTGAAGGCAGATGTCAGGCATGCTAGCAGGGAGTGTACTCTGTTTTCTGCAGGTAATGGTCCCTCACTTTCCTTCTCAGGTTATGGCCAAGGTGTTCAGCCACCAGGCGTTGGAGAGCTACATCCCCCGCATCCAGGAGGCTGTGATCCTGGAGCTCCAGGGCTGGTGCAGGGAGGTCGGACCCATCTCCATGTTCCCCTCTGCTAAAGCACTCACTTTCCGGATCGCTGCCCGCATCTTGCTGGGGCTCAGCCTGGGGGAGAAGCAGTATAAAGAGCTGGCCAGGGTGTTTGAGCAGCTAGTGGAGAACCTCTTCTCTCTGCCTCTGGATATCCCATTCAGTGGACTCCGCAAGGTATTTGTACCTCTTGTCTGATCTTCACACTGATATAATGCCTCCTGTCCAGATACTGACCCCTTCTGTGGCTTATTCATAAAGATATCATGATAGTGAGAAGCAATCCATAGTATCCAGTTAGATTTCATTTCTCATCAGAGCAACAGTTAATATCCTCCTGTAGATCCTTCCAAAACTCTCTCTTTCCAATATTACTAAGTCATCAATCTTGATATAGACATCAGCAAAGTTTGCATTTGACAAATACCTGTAGACAGCACAAAAAATGTACGAAGTGCAAGGTCCCATAGCAACCCATAGCAGTCAGATTTCATTTATCAATGAAACAGGCAGAAATAATAAATACAATACAATAAATAATGAAATAAAATGACTGTTGATTGGTTGCTGTATAAAACATTATTTTGTATATTGCTTCCTTATTAAGTGTTCAATCAATCAATCACATAGCATTTCTAAATTGTTCCCCTATCTACCATTCCTTGTTTTCTCTTTTTCTTTATCCAGCTTTTACACTTTTGTAGTTTAGAATAGATATTCAGTGTGTTGCACTTTGTAAGGAACTTAAGAGTTTCTTACAAAATGGAAAATGGATAGGACACTGATGTTGCAAAGTGCAGTAACATGGATTAACCAATCAGATTTCCCATTTCAGTAAAGACCAGCAAGGGCAATAACATATGGCAGTTGGTTGCTATGGGTTAATTAATTTAGCAAAATACTCTTTAAGCCATACAGTTCCTTCTGATGCTGTTATGTTATATATCATGTTACAGTATATTATATTATATCAGTGTAAAAACAATTAATGTAGTGCTTAAGATAATAGTTAACAATGAAGAATAATAATGTCCAAATCACCACAAAAGTAGGATAATTGTAAATCAGTATAATACATTAAATAAAATCTATATAAAAGTCCACATAATCCAATGGTAATGGTGCCAAGTGAACCAAAAACCAGAAGGAGAGGGAGAATCCATCACCTTTCACCCAAAACTTTGACCACCCGAAGGGCTGGTCAAACAAAGAAGATATGAAGCCCAGCAGATGAATCCAGGACTCCCAAATGATTCTCCCAAGAAATCCGGATGATATAAGGACTTCTCTCTAAAGAAATAAGTCTAGGATGGCAAATACTTCTCCACCACAGTAAACACCACATAGGAAAAAAGTATAACCGCTCATAGTGTAGTACTTAAATCAAACTTGCAATTTATTCAAGTAATGCACTTACAAGTGCAGAGGTAAAAATCAGCATGTCTGCATAGTGTTTCCAACCAATAAGATGGCTGCGGTGATGTCACACATTGTGGCTCCCCCCTATGCATTTCATCACACGATGTCAGGGGAGCCCCTGATGACGATGTCCTCTGTGTGATGAAATGTGTAGGGTGGAGCCACAATGCGTGACGTCACCATGCACTGCCATGGACCGCGGCCATCTTATTGGTTGGAAACACTATGCAAACATGCTGAATTTTACCTCTGCAATTGTAAGTGCATTACTTGAATAAATTGCAATTTTTATTTAATTACTACACTGTGAGCGGTTATACTTTTTCCTTATGAGGTGTTTACTGTGTGGAGAAGTATTTGCCATCATGGACCTTATTGTTTACAGAGAAGTCCTTATATCGTCCGTATTTCTTGGGAGATTTATTTGGGAGTCCTGGATTCATCTGCTGGGCTTGATGTCTGCTTTGTTTGACCAATACTTTGGGTGGTCAAATTTTCTGGTAAGAGACCAAATGATTGGGTGAAAGGTGACGGATTCCCTCTCTCCTTCTGGCTTTTGGTTCACTTGGCACCATTACCATTGGATCATGTGGACTTTTATATAGACTTCATTTAATGTATTATACTGATTTACAATTATCCCACTTTTGTGGTGATTTGGACACTATTATTATTTATTGTTAACTATTATCTTAAGCGCTACAGTGTTTTTAGTTTGTTTATTTTGCGTATTTATTGTGTTAGCTGCTATTTTTATTTGTAAACTCCCAAGCACAGGTTTTCTCTATAATTATATCAGTGTTCTCAAATACTGTACAATCTCTGGGCATACCAGGAGGTGTGTCCCATCATCTGCACACTTTTTATACACATTTCTGTGCATTGCGTTCTTCAATGGGCTGCCCTATGCGTGTGAAACAAGCAAAAAATATTCCAGCAAAATATTTCACAATAGCGGCACACCAAAATGCATGGTACTGCGGTACCATGCATTTTAGCAGGTGCAAGCACACATGCATTTTCTGGAGTTTTTGGCACCCATATGCATGTGCAAAAGGCAGCACGTTTTTTGTGGTGTGGGAAAATGTGTGATTTCACATGCATTCCGACACCACGATTTGTGCAAACTTGCCTTGTTGTGACGCAAACTTGCCTTGTACCTATAGAAATAAGTGAGCCGTATGTACTGCAAAACAGGGCAGTATCCAGTGGTAGGGTGGTCAGCGAGCAGTATGTAGTGTCAATCAGGGGTGGACTGACCATTTGAGAACTCGGGCACTGCCCGAGGGCCTGGGGTCAGTAGGGAGCCCCATGAAATGCCCCTGGTACCTTTTATAGGCTTTTTTTGAGTGTGGGCAAAGACACAGGGGCCCCATGATCCCCTATTGCCTGGGGGGCCCCATGAATTGTCAGTCCGCCCCTGGTGTCAATCAGTGAGCAGAAGGATGGAGTTCATGCTGGAGAAGCCTCTCTCCACCAGTCACTTACCGCACCACTGGAGATGAAGTAAGACTTGCCAGGCTGCTATCTCTGCTCCTCCATCTTCAGTTGCTGGATCAGCCATAGCAGCCATCTGTGGAGGGAAGGAGGTGGCCAGACCCCCATTCTGCCCACCACCTCCAGCCAGGGAAAAGTTGGAGGAAGAGAATTCCATATGAACTCCTTGGAGAGAAAAGCGTCACAGACGCCTCCGATCTCAACTTCCCCATCAGCTGTGTAGGCACATAAGGGGAAATCAAGGACACTGGGTGGGCTCCTGACTGAAGATATCATTGGTTGGTTGAATGCAGGTGGGCGGCCCACACAGCACAGAGTCCCGAATGAGGATACATGAGATTTTAAAATTCACCCGACCGGCACCACAGTTAGAAAAACAAGGCTAAAGCTGACAGTGAAGAATGTTTCATTTACCTGCCTGCCATAGTCGGGGCAGTCTTTTAATAGTTTTGCCTTGGCACCCCTGAGGACTCTTGGCACCACCGCAAGGTTCCTCATCACCCCGGTTGAGAAATGCAGTAATATATTAAAATTTTAATATATATTATATTTTATTATAATATATTATAATTTTATTATATGTTATGTTATATTATTTTTTTTTCTTAACCGGATTTTAGTGTATGACTAATTTAGAGAGTTTTAGATGATAAGAAATACACAGTGCTATTCCCACATGTGAAATAAATGTGTACATGAGTCTGTATACATATAAACATGTGAACAAACAGACTTCTGTATTTGTGTAAATGTATAGAGGGTATGTATATAGTCTCCACATCTTAGTATAATGACTTGTAAACAGCCCATCCTTCATCCTAGGTGACCCTCCACACACTCTGTATACAAAGTTATCATAAATGTCATTTGCCCACAAGCTGCTGCTGATGCCCCATGAATGGGCTCTATGTACTAGTCGGCACTTTGCATTGTAAAAAAATAATTTATGGACATTAAACACGGTTGGAGCAAGCAGCCTGCATGGGTCTATAAATCAAAGGCTGAATGGGGCAGGCGGAGTGCCCCTAGTAAGTCAAGTATCCGGAATAGGCTCTACTAGCTGTTCTCCAGCCGCTCGTTTAGGAAACAGGCGTGCTCTGTAATTGTTCAGTAAGATCAGCATTGGGAGAGAAAACACACGGAGGAGCTCAGAATAGGGACCACATTGTCTTGCAGAGAACAGTCCAGCTGAGTTATAGACAAAGAGCTGCTCCAGGCAGACTCCTAATGACTCCCTCTCTGGTATTTGTGACCCTGCTTGGCACTCTGGCTGTTGAAGACCTGTCACCCAATTGTCAAGGAGCGAAATGAGCAAAGCTGGGGACCCACCAGAGATCCTGCAGCCTATTATCTACTACCTGATGCCTAGGTTCTGTAATATGTCACATCACTTGCAAATGTGATCTGCCTTATTAAAGATAATTTGTGACTGGCTGCCAGGAATCACCACACCATTACAGTTTGCATTATGTCATCAGATTTAAGTATTTCAAAATTCTTAGTTCAGAGGAAGGTGAAACAAGAACAACAGCTTATCAATAACTATTTACTCATTTCTTACTAAATGTATACACATATATCCCAGTTCTAACATGCAGATTCAATTACAGTATGTATCCATTAAAAATAATTTCAAACTCAATTGAACATTCAGCTTAAATCAGCTAAATACATTCCAGGTACAAAACAAAAGATGTTCAATGTTTTACTGTTCATTTTCTTGCTAAAGCAGGTACAGCCTGAGTAGAAAGGTCTGTCCCCCGCAAAAATGCTGTAGGTTGAGACCCTTGCTCCCTGTGGAAAAGCAGTGGACTCTCCACCGAGTTCTGGCACAAGTCAGACCTTTAGCTGTGCAATCAGTAAAGGTTCTGCTTCCAGCTGATTGGGGAGGTTAGCCTCTGACTCAGCAGGGGCTGAGCTGGACCTCTGCAGAGAAACCACTGCTTTCCCACAGAGAGCAAGGGTCCCACTCTACAGCATGCTGCCAGGGCACATGCTTTTCTACTCCGATTGCAACTATTTTAAAAGGAAAACAAATTGTAAGATATTGACCTTTTTGGCTTTGATGCCCTTGAAATGTATTCAGCAGATATAAACTGAAAGTTCACTTGGGCTTTAATGCATATTACGTAAAACCAGCATAGTTTTGTAAATATGTATATAAAAAAGCTTCCTGCAATCATCTTCACAGCAGAACTCAGACTGGGAGGGGTAGGGTCAGCACTCTGAATCATTTAGTCAGGCTAGCACACGCTATTCTGTCAGGCTAGCACAATGGACATGCTTAAAAGAGAGGAGAGAACCAAGATGACCTCATTTGTTTGCTGCTGTTCCTTCATTCTCCAATCAGCAGTCTAGGGTGGGTCCTAGACCAAGCTGTATCGATTAACTGTAGCAGAGAAAAAATGAGGTCAGGGACCTGGATGTGTAGGTGTGCCTGGATCAAAAGACTGAACAGAATTACAAATTGTTCAGCAGATAAAACAGTGTGTATATGTATTTACACAGTATATTTAGCTTCTTTTTCTGGGGATCACCTTTACCTATCAAAGCTGTTTATCATCATGTAATAATGATAATATAACTTTTCTGCACATTTGGAAGATTTCTCACCTCAACAACTGTATTGTGGACTGAAAACTACAGCAATGTTATCTGCTGACTACTAACTGGATGTCATTCCTTACAGGGTATCAATGCACGTAAAACATTACACCAGTACATGGAAGAAGCCATCAAGGATAAAATCACAAGAAGAGACCCTGAGCTGTGTGAAGATGCTCTGGATTACCTGATAGACAGTGCTAAGGAGAATGGCAAGGAGCTGAATATGCAGGAGTTAAAGGTACAAGACCAGGGGCTAAATGTCAAAAAAACGGGGAAATGCAATTTGGAAACGCTGGGGAATCCACGCACAGTATATGAAAGTGGAGGTGCCACCAGGGGCTGGCAATAGTGTGCATGCCAGCAGTGACATGACACATTGCACATAGGTCTACATACACTATCATATTGCACTCCCTGGTAGTGAGAAAAATGATGTTAGAAATATATACAGTAGTGACCAATCATACAGCAGTAAACTACACATGTCATAGTAATGATATTTGCAATTATTTTGAATGTTTGCATTTCCTCCCAATTACAAACAGAGACTTGTCTTTAGGCCTCATGCACAATGGATGCTTTGACATCTCTCCTAGACTCCTAGAAGCAGCGCTTTGGCAGAAAAAATGCTTGACACTTGTAAATGTGTATAATGTGTTTATTCACACCAATCGCTTGGACATTAATTAATTTCATTGACCAGAATAATAATTTATTCTGGCCATTGAAGTGAACTAACACTCAAACGCTAAATGCGTTTAGACACGCTTGCATGCATCAAGTATTCTCTACCAAAACGCTTCTGCTCCTGGACGTGCTGGTAGTGATTTTTTTCAGCCTCTAAATGCCCCTTTCTCTAAACTCCTCTAAATGCCTATGTGTGCATCGTCACCTAGGCCATCATACAGGGTGTTTGGAGGAGGAAAAAAAAAGCCAGACAATCCTAACAGCCATTTTAAAAACATCCAGTGTACAAATGAGCGCCAATATTGAATTATGAGATAAAGAGGGAATTTGCAGAGCTCTGGGTTTAAGGTAAAGATTCTAAATGCATACTGAGCAAGCCTAGATTTGGGGGGTATCAAGGCGCTCAGGAAAAGACTTTAAAATATTTGTGTATATAGGCACCAAGCAGTGCTGCTTTTTCACTTATTGCGTTCATGTTTTTCTTTATACCACATTTGCTGAGTTAGTGTTGTAATCAGGATCTTTTTCTAAAGTCAGTGGACCTAAATGTAAGATGATAAGCTGGACCCATTCCTCACAACTTTACGCATACTTGTCTTGGCTTTACTAGGTTTTATAAATACCATTTATTATTTGGAATCGGTGGTGCTTAAATATGAGCTTGGGTTTGGACCGAACCCATGAAGAAGCTGTCAGCGTTGGCCAATCAGCTGTGACTACAGGGAATCCCTGCCCTGTAGTTGCACGTACACCAAATTTTCTCAACCTTTTTACCCCAGAGGAACCCCTGAAATAATTTTCAGATCTCGAGGAACCCCTGCTAAAATCAATTCTTTGTTGGGCAGTGGGCAAAATTCCCTTTGCATTGGTGAGTAGTGGGAAGAATGCCTCCCTTACAGTATTGGTCAGAATGCAACCTTTACAGACAGCTAAGAGGATCATTGTTTCCATGTCTCTGGCTCTGCCAAGTGGCATTGACCCCAGAACTATGGAGACACCATCAAATGGCAGAAAAATCAACCACAGCTCAAGGAACCCCTGGTAAGCTCCAAGGAGCAGGGCCCTCCTAGCCCTCTTGTATTGAACTGTATTGTCTCCCGTTATATTTAAAGCGCTGAGCACACTGTTGGCGCTATATAAATCCTGTATAAATAATAAATAATAATAACTTCTGGAGGAAGCCTGGTTGAGACAAGGATGCTTGTGACATGTTGCCATATTAAGTTAATGATGTCACAAGCATTCCTACACCTTTATGTAACTGTAGTTGTGGGGTGGGGAATGCCTCAGCAGCAATTGATTGGCCCAGCACTAATAGTTTCCTTCCAGGTTAATCCGAACATGGGATTTTACCAAAACCAAACCTAAACTCATCCATAGTGGAGACTCCCTGGCGTGTGTATCCACTGGCAATGGTCTGAATGTGATGCTGGACCAGGTGTATGTACATATTACGTGTATACTTGCTCAACATATTGTTGGCACTGCACTCCTCCCCTTCAGAGACCAGTTGTAGAGGTGGCATATGCAGATCTTCTTTGAGCTGCAGTTTCAAATGACCGTGCGGGTGCTGCTCAAAGGACGGTGTTGCTTTAAGGATCATTTCCAGAATCAAATCCATAATGTATGCAATGAATGCACTATGGGCCCCATTCCACTTGAGCCCCCTGTGTACTGCACACATGCCAAGGGGGTGAAATAGTTAACTGAAAGTAATATTTGCATTTTACATGCTTGTTGTGGTATTGTATATTTCCATTAGGATCGCCTTAGGCTGCAGGGAACAATGAGTGGGGGACATTCACCTGTCCTCTGTAGCACTGCAACATGCAGCTGCATTTTTTTGCAACTTGGCCAAGGACAGAAATGGTGTTAATGCTTTTCTTTGATATAGAATAAGGAAGGATCAAGTTCACCAAATGGAAATTTCCAAAAACATTGGCAAATCACCATGTGTGATAGCAAATGCTTCTGACATTGAAGTTGCTTGTTTACCATCCAATGGTAGCACCAAATGCCTTGATCATGGCATCACTGTCACAATGGACCATCATAGTAAATTGGGGAACAATTTTATACAGATAGATGGTTCTCAGTGTTTCACTACAATTGCTCAGTTTCCAGGTTTCCAAACGCTGTTGCATTGTATTGTTCTCAGCCTAGCTGGCTACACAACAGTTAGAATCTCCTTAGATTTGACCTGTCACATCAGTAAATTTTAACAACTATGTAGTATGCAGTTTTAATCAAACAATACTTGCTTTTTTTATCCAGTCTGGATGGCCTTTCCCCTTAAATATTTATAGGTAAATGTTGCTGATCCAAAAGATCAAATCAAAGGAAAAACTATTGTGGTTAAATTTGGACAGACCTGACTGGTAGACTTGCACTGAGAGAGATGATAAATAAGACACATGCCTAGCTATGACAATTATAGTTGTGTATTTTGTATACCTTAAAAAGACAAAAATGCTAAATGCATAGTCTGGTCCTTGCATGTTACTAAACCTCTAATGAGGGATGTTGTTAGTGACCAGTTATAGTAGAAATAAAGACAAAATATTTCTTTTTTAATTTTGGATAATAGAGGGTTATAACTTCTGTTGGCTTTTTTGCCATCTGTGTCCCATTGGGAGATTTCCCTTCACTTTCTGTCCCATAGCCAAAACAGGAAGTGATAGGATTTCCTTCAACGTGAATGGTATTCCCGGTTGTCACCAAGATCACCAGAAATAGTTTCCTCATCAGAAGATTTCCCCTCTATTACCTTCTGTAGACAACCCACAATTTGGGTTTTTTTTTACTTTCACTTTCAGTTACGATGGTAAAAATGACAAATAGTGAGGGTGAATCTCCCCATCTCCCCAAGAAGCGCACACATCAATAAATGTCCGACAGGTGCTCTAATCCCCCTCCAGTCTATCCAAAACTTTAAAAAGAAAAAAAGTTTACTCTAGTTATACCTTATGTTAGCTCTCAATGTAATCATTGATATATATATATATATATATATATATAGTCAGTGTGTGTGTGTGTGTATATATATATATATATATATATATATATATAATACATATACACATACAGTATATATATATATATCTAGTAAGGATGCCTTTATGTGAGGGTCTACTGAGGCACCTGGGGTGTGGCTTTTACTTATACTGTTTTCATATAATAAAATCAGTAAAATGTAAAAAAAACTGCTTATAATATTTAATACTATTTATTTATTAAGTATTCAAATATTTTAAAAAGGGCTCAATGCTAGCAGGGCCAGTGCAAGGATTTTTGTCTACACAGGCGAAGGTGCAGGAGCCCTGGTGCTAAAATGTTTGCTTTTACTCTATCGTGCACACTGATATAATGTGTAACGTGTAGGACAATCATTGTTTTCATACTTAGAGTAGCTGCCCAAACGCACGCGATTATGTAGGTGTGGGGGGGGGGGTCTCTAAAAATCTTTTTTTGTCTCCCTATAAGCCTAAAACTTTATTGTTAAATCTGTATTTAGTTATGTATTTATTTTTTAAATAACTTTAATTGCTATCACATAGGGGACCAATAGCCCCTCCTGTGATAGCATATAGATGACAGGTTCTCTTCATGGAGATGTCTCCTCTCTACTCCAATGCAGCTGATGGAACACAGACTGTGTTCCATCAGCTGCTTCCCCAGCACTGATCCCGAAGAATGACAGCTTCGGTCCAAGAAGTGACGTCATACATGTCATTTCCCGGTCTATGTACCGGAGGGAGGCTGAGCAGACGGAGCTCCACTGAGCTCCCGGTGCCCTTCCCACCAACACACGCCATCACAGGACCAGGTGCGCAGGTGGGACAGCGGTGCCTGGTAAACATGGCAGGGGGGCGTCACATCGCGGCGGTGGTTCTGGACATAATAGGCAGCTCCACAGCCACTTATATCACTTCCACTTGAAAACCAACAGTCAGCTTTACTGAAGTACACACACTCCCAGCTAGTATAGCAATCAGGACTGTGTATAAAAACACATCTGCAGCACTGCAAAGTGGCCGGGAATTCGGATTGGACCCCCCCCCCCCCCATCCTGGTGCCCTAAGGTGGCTGCGTAAGCCACCGTATGGTAGCACCAGCCCTGACTGCTAAGCTACGTTTGCATGTGGAATTTTTTGACTTGTATCTAGTTTTTCAGGTTTTAAATAACACTAGGTTCAAAATAATGCTTTTTAGACACGTTTTTCTGCTATACCTTTTTTTTTTCTTATGTTATTCCTTTATCAATAACTTCTGCAGTCAGTTACTTCTTTTAGAAGGCAAGATATCTATAGGTAGTGAGTACATCAGCTTTTAAAAACTCATCCATAAAGCACTTAGGCAATCAGGGGGCCATACACTATAGTTTTTTTTTATGTAGCCTGCAGGCCAAATAAAAAAAAATCTAATAGGATCTTACATCTATGCTAGACAGTGTGAATGAAAGAATCTGTAGTGCAGACTATTGTATTCTTACAACCAGCACTGGCAGCTGTCAGATTACCCAAACAGCGACTACATCTGATTGGATGGAGTTGCAGTTCAGTTGACAATTTTTCCATCTGGCTTCTTTGATATTTCCAGGGACCAGGCGAAATTCGCTCAGTGCATGGCCAGCATTAAAGGGTGTGTCCTTTGTCATTGATAACCATCACCAAAAGATCCCCATCTCAAACGGGTCAGTATAAAGCATTTAGCAAAGAGTTTTCTTCCTTACATCTCAATGAACAGTGCAATAAAATAGAATTCTTGTGCCTGTTTGGTCATACCTCCACTTAGCTGAGCAAGTGTGACCCAAGGAGAGGTAGAAAACAATTCTCATGACTTTATGCTGCACCTTGTATACTAAGCTGTTACTATGATGGTCTGGCAGTGGTTGGCACAGATGCAAAGCATTTGATGGTGTCAGGCAATGGACTGAATAGTAACTGCTCTCCCACTTCAAGGGAAGGGGGTAAAAGTATATATAGGGATTTCATTAACCACGAATTTAGAATCAGCATGGTCCTAAAAGAAGTCAACACTTCAGCTGGCCATACAACAGTAGAATTTTGTTTACATTTTTTTATTTTGAGAACGTTTGTTTGCTATTCTAATAGTTAGTGGGCTCAAATTAACGACAGTTTTTAACCATTGTGATAAAAAAAATTTAGCAGAAATTGAAATTGAGCAGAATGGAAAATGTTGCTCCAACAAACAAAGTTCTAACCATGAATGTGCTTTTTGTTTGGAAAAAATCACACATATTGTGATGCATATTTTCTAGGCGCAAAAAAAAAAACCTGTTTTAAAATGTCTGAATTTCTATTCAAGTAGCAGGTCTGGATGAAATTTTAAGGGCTTTTGTGTGAAATTAGTTGACTCAATGATGGCAAGATCGAATACTCTGGTGAACTATATTTCAGAATTTCCGTATGAACGTTCAAACAAATTTATCAGTGTGTGGCCAGCTTAATGAGGTCATTAGAAATACATTACATTGCAGCTCCTCTTTGGCAGCTCTCCTATGTAATTTATTATTTAAATATAACCTCAGCTCATCCGTACTGAAGAATTCAAGTACACCTTCCTTTTATTCACAAGTGCCCTGAAGTACAATAAAATTCAAATATTTAATTAACCACAAAAGCAATAAAAAATAACTTAATTATTAAAGCACTGAAAATGTTGGCTTATAGAATTATTTTTTTAAATATTTCAGAAAGGCATTAAAAACTTACAGTTAAAGACACTAGAGATGGAATTGTAATTGTATAGGACTTTTGTTTTATTTAACCTATTATCTCAATGAAGAAACTTTCATTGGAGTCACTTATAACTTCTCCCCAGTTAGGTAGACAAAACAGAGCTCTCTACATTACAAATTTACATGATATGTGAAATATGTCATGTGAAGTGTTTATGAACATAAGGAGCTTATTTTGTGAGCCTTATTTGACCTTTTATGGGTCAGACTGATCAAAAGTGATATTTTAGTTATGAATGTAGCCTGTTGGATTCTCCAGATGGAGTCCAGCCCTGGCCTCCTATATGTTTTGGAGCAACCATACTCAACTAGGGTTGCTCCAGATTTTCTTTGGGATTCATTGAGCTGTGGCTGATTGACCTCCCTTTTGATGGTTGCTGCTTAGTTTTGAGGTTCAACACTACTTTACAGAGCCAGCGGCACGAACCTAGTGATCTTTTTAGGTGTCTGCAAGAATTCTTCCCACTGCCCCTTGGTGAATTAATTTTAGCTAGAGTTCCCCAAATCATTTCAAGGGTTACTCTGGGGTAATAGGTTGAGAAAGGCTGTCTTGGAGACTCCATCAGTGAGATATTCCTGTCAACGTAGAAGTGTTGTTTTTTCCTGTACACCTTTGTGTGCCTCAGGATCTCCTGTCTCATTCTCAGTAAAATAAAATAAAACATTCAGAGAGATATTGTGACCTCCTCCAAATGGCCACAGCAAGCAGGAAAGCTCAAGAATTCAAGCACAGGTGTCTCTCCAAAAAGGTTCCTAGCGGTTATAGGAAATTGTCAGGTGGTTAAACTCTCCAGCATCTACTAAAAACTAAAATATCAGTTTTCAGTGGGCTAAGTTTTAAAGGAATAACTGCAGTCCTATATGCCTTCCTTCATCACTCTCTATGCATTTATAAGTAAACCCAGACTTCAGTTCATGCGTTTGTGCATTCTCACTGCCTTCTTGCTCTGAATAGGCACTGACATATACCCCCAAAACACAACTTAACTGATAGCTGGAGGGTTCCAGAAAATGGGAAGCTCCAAGCATAAAAATGTACCTTATACTAACACACTCTGACCATGACTGAACTGGAAGCACTAGCACCATGCATGGATAGCAGGGTTGTATTAGCAGAATGCCAGGCTGTCTGAGAATTTTTAATGCTGATTTGTGTGCCCATGTAGACTGATCAGATGGGTTTTATTAAAGTAGAACTATAGGCAAACCTTTTTTTTGTTTTCACTTTGGATAGAGTAAAGGAAGATTATCCAATAGCCGCCTGGCCAACAGCCGATTGGCGGCCGGCAAAATGCTGTAGATTTCCGGGTGTACGCCATATGGCGTCCTCCCAGGCATGCGCAGTTTTCGCGCTTGCGGAGCCGCGCAGTGGCGCGATCTGTCACCGGCCGTGTACCTCGGACACGGCCGATGACAGATCTGAGTACCGGTCCCCATTGTTGGTACCATGTGACCTGCTGTGATTGGTCACATGACAGTTTTATACAATGGATGGCTTCATTCATGCCATCCATTGTACACTAGTGTCTATGAGAATGGTCAAAGCAATCACATGCACATGTCATGTGATTAGTTGTGGCCAAATCACAGCTAAGCACAAAAAAAAACCCCTGAATGAATCAATGTCATTCAGGTAAATGCTTGCTTATAGCAAACTAATTCTTTGCTATAAGCAAATTGTGTAAAAAAAAAAAATATTGATCACTTCCCCAAAGTAGTACAATGTTACTATGGTAACATTGTACTACTTTGGACATAGTGAAATATGAAAAAATATCTTAAAAAAAAGAAAAAATGAAATCAACAATTAAAAAATAATTTAAAAAAAGAAAAAAAAAAAATTTTTTTTTCATACTGTCACCAGTCAGTGTCCCTGATCACCACCATGCCAGTTATATGATGATGCTGTACTGCACTGGTGACAGTATATTAAAAAAAATAGTGAAAATAATTTTTTTAATATTTTCATTTTCCGAAAAATTATGACCAAAAAATACTTCAAAAAACTCGCCATGCCTCTTATGAAGTACATCGGACTGTCTACTTTGCAAAAAGGGGTCATTTGGGGGATATCTGTACTGTTCTGACATTTGGGAGATATCTGTACTGTTCTGACATTTTTGGACCTCAAGAAATTAGATTGGCTGTCAGTACTTCAGGATTTATCAATATTCAGATCTATACCATAGTTTGTGAACTCTATAACTTTCCTACAAACTAAAAAATACATCCTAATTTGGGTTATTTTCACCAAAGACATGTAGCAGAATACATCTTGGCCTAAATTTATGAAGAACAATTATTTATTTGCAAACTTTTATAACAGAAACAAAGAAAAACGTGTTTTTTTTTCAAACTTTTTGGTCTTTTTTGTTAATTTAGCAAAAAATAAAAACCCCAGTGGTGATTAAATACCACCAAAAGAAAGCTCTAGTTATGTGAAGAAAATTATAAAATTTTAGTTTGGGTACAATGTTGTATGACCGCGCAGTTGTCATTCAAAGTGTGAGAGCGCTAAAACTTGAAAAATGGCCTGGGAGGGAAGGGGGTAAAAGTGCCCGGTATGGAAATGGTTATAACACCTGTCAGATTTTTTCACCATCTGTCTCCCATTGTGGAGATTTCCCTTCACTTCCTGTCCCACAGCCAAGGAGAAGAAATCCCTGAAAGGGGATTCCTTGGGGACCCCCAGGTCACCAGAACTAGTGTCCCCACTGGAAGATTTCCCCTTTATTACTTTTCTGGAAACAACCCAAAATTTGGGATTTTGTTTTACTATCACTTTCAATGATAGTGGTAAACAGTACAAATAGAGAGGGTGAATTCCCCTAATGGGGGCACAGGCCTTTAGCTATACTTTAAACCAACATAGTACACAAAAGTATATGCACATTCTGCACTGGAAACCTTAAAGCTGAACTCCAGAAATTATATTTATTGGACACTTACCTCAGGCCAGCCTGGGGCAATGTGAGTACAGTATTCATGGAAATAAATACAAATCAATCTATGAATTGCAGCGGTGTTGAGCAAGTGGTCAGTGTGCAAAGGGGAAGCCTAGCAAGATCTAGAAGATCGTGGCTATCACTATGGTAGTGCCCATTACTAGTGATGTACAGCTTCCACAGCAGTCCTTTTAGTGTGTCCTATACATTCTTACATTTTGCCAAGCTGGGTCCATGTGAGTATACAATACAGATCATACCTGGAGTTAAGTTTTAAGGTGCCAAGCTGGCAGTAGTGCCAGTATCTACACACACTTAGTCCACCAGGCTCAGCAAGATTAGTCATACATAATAAAATAAAATCGTTTGCCATGGATGCTTTTAATTCCTAGCCCAGCCCTTTTGGTTACGGTATTTGCCTGCACTCTCCCTTCCTCAAGCTGGAGAGGAAATGAATAGCTTTAATGACTGTGGATTTATGTGAACATATGTGTAATAACATGTTTATTAATGCTGTCTCTTGTCACACAGGAATCTGCTATTGAACTTATGTTCGCTGCCTTCTTCACGACTGCCAGTGCCAGTACCTCCCTCATCCTGCTTTTACTCAAACATCCATCTGCCATACAGAAGCTGAGACAAGAACTGGCATCCCATGGGTTAAACAAACAGTGCCAGTGTCTTCACTCTCCAGATAGCCCTAATAACAATACCATGGATGAGAAATGTGCAACTGCAGGGTGCCATGCCTCTACCTTGCCAGGCCCAGATGGCCAAAGTGAAAGAACTGTGGGAAAAGACCAAGCTGGTGATGGTGGAGAAGAATGAACATGAGCATACATGTTCTGTAACCAGGAGATGTCAAGATGGTGTGCATCGTCAGTACCTGTGCAATGGTGCACCATACGAGAAGGATACACCTCTGTACCTTTCAGGTGCTGCCAGATTACTAGGAGGATGTCAGGGATGGAGAAACGAGTGTACATGTCAGCTAAACCTTAATCTGGAGAAAATAAAGGGACTCAACTACCTGGACTGTGTGGTGAAAGAGGTGCTGCGTCTGCTTCCTCCAGTGTCTGGAGGCTACAGAACTGCTCTGCAGACATTTGAGTTAGATGTAAGTAAGGGTCTGCCTCTTGGTGGGTGGTTGGGTGGGCTCTACGGGGGCAACACCCATCCTGATACCATAGGTTTAAGTGTGATCAGTGTGACTTAAATATGCTACATGAGCAGTGTAAGTTTGCCTGGTGCTTAGTGAGACAAATCTTTTATTTTATATATATAAACTCACCAGCCACTTTATTAGGTACACCTTGCTAGTGCCAAGAAAATATCCCCCACCCACACCACCATTACACCACCAGCTTGAACCGTTGACACAAGGCAGGATGGATCCATGGTTTCATGTTGTTTACACCAAATTCTGACCCTACCATCTGAATGTTGCAGCTGAAATCTAATGCCCATAATCCTCTGCCATCAACAAGGCATTTTTGTCCCCACAACTGCTGCTCACCTGATATTTTATTTTTCGGACCATTCTCTGTAAACCCTAGAGATGGTTGCATGCGAAAATACCAGTAGATCAGCAATTTTTTAAATACTCAGACCAGCGCGACTGGCACCAACAACCATGCCACATTCAAAGTCACTTAAATCCCCTTTCTTCCCCATTCTGATGCTTGGTTTGAACTTCAGCAAGTCCTCCTCACCACTTCTACATGCCTAAATGCATTGAGTTGCTGCCACGTGATTGGCTGATTAGCAATTTGTGTGTTACCAGGCAATTGAACAGGTTTATCTAATATATATATATATATATATATATATATATATATATATATATGTAAATATATACGCTGCTGAAAAAAATTAAAGGAACACTTTTTAATCAGAGTATAGCATTATGTCAATTAAAGTGTTACTAAACCCAGGACCCTGAATTCACTCTTTTTGGTCTCCCACAGTACACACAACACGGAAATGCAATTATTTTAGTAAATATAAACTGCTAAATACCTTTTCTCATCAGCAGTTAAAGCTTGTAGGAGGAGTTTTTTCTAGGAGGATGTAGAACCCCTGATCTCTGTCTGGGCAGTGCTGATTGGGCCTGTGCTGATCACATGCACTCTCCCAAGAAAAAGAAAAAACCTCTCTACCAATTCACACCAAATTGAGCATGTGCAGAGCGTCTCCACACGATATGTCTTATCAGGAGATAAGAGGTAAATACTGGAAAGAGGGGAGGATCAGAGAAGTCAGGATCAAACAACATTTTTACATAATGCAGAGGATTAACCCCTTAAGTTCCACAGTGAGTATAACAAGCATGCTTTACTGCATATACAGACTGATTGTACTGTTGTGGGTTTAGTAACACCTCAAACTCCTGAGATATTGATCTGGTCAGTCAAGTAGCAGAAGGGGTTGTTTATCAATTTCAGCTACTAAAATACAGGTGGAGGCCACTGACATTTTTTTTCCTAATCCCTACTCATCTTTTTAAATGTTTTTCACTAGTTTTGCATTTGGCTAGGGTCAGTGTCACTACTGGTAGCATGAGGTGATACCTGGACCCTACATAGGTTGCATAGGCAGTCCAACTCCTCCAGGATGGCACATCAATACGTGCCATTGCCAGAAGGTTTGCTGTGTCTCCCAGCACAGTCTCAAGAGCATGGAGGAGATTCCAGGAGACAGGCAGTTACTCTATGAGAGCTGGACAGGGCTGTAGAAGGTCCTTAACCCATCAGCAGGATCAGTATTTGCTTCTTTGTGCAAGGAGACAGGATGAGCACTACCACAAAATGACCTCCAGCAGGCCACTGGTGTGAACGTATCTGACCAAATAATCAGAAACAGACTTCATTAGGGGGTCCTGAGGGCCCAACGTTCTCTGGTGGGCCCTGTGCTCACTGCCCGGCACAATAGAGCTCGATTGACATTTGCCATTGAACACCGGAATTGGCAGGTCCACCACTTGCTTCCTGTGCTTTTCACAGATGAGAGCAAATTCACCCAGAGCACATGTGACATGTGAAAAAGTCTGGAGAAGCCGCGGAGAACGTTATGCTCCCTGTAACATTGTTCAGCATAACTGTTTTGATGGTGGGTCAGTGATTGTCTGGGGAGGCATATCCATGGAGGGATACACAGACCTCTACAGCCTAGGCAATGGCACCCTGACTGCCAATAGGTATCGGGATGAAATCCTTGGACCCATTGTCAGACCCTACACTGGTGCAGTGGGTCCTGGTTTCCTTCTGGTGTACAACAATTCCCGGCCTCATGTGGTGAGAATATGCAGGTAGTTCCTGGAGGATGAAGGAATTGATATCATTGAATGGTCCCCACGCTCGCCTGACCTAAATCCAATAATCCAATAGAACACCTCTGTGATATCATGTTTCGGTCCATCTGACACCACCAGGTTACACCTCAGACTGTCCAGGAGCTCAGTGATGCCCTGGTCCAAATCTGGGAGGAAATACCCCCGGACTCCATCCGTCATCTCAGTAGGAGCTTACCCCAACATTGTCAGGCTAGCATAAAAGCACATGGGGGCCATACAAACTACTGGGTACATTTTGAGTTGCTTCAATTAAATTTTAGCAAAATGGACTAGCCTGCTGCATCATTTTTTTCACTTTGATTTTGGGGTGTCTTTGAATTCAGTCCTCTGTAGGTTGATCATTTTCATTTCCATCAAACGATGGGGCATCCTTACATTCCTAACACATTACCCAGCCCATATCAATATAGATATCCAGCATGATATTTTTCCCATTGAGATCTGATGTGTTTTCAAAGTGTTCCTTTAATTTGTTTGACCAGTGTATATAAGCTGGAGCTCTATAGAGCAGGTGTTGTATGAGCTGAATATGAGCTGTAGGTTTATGGAGCATGTTGTGTATGAGCTCTACATGAGTCGGAACTCTATAGAGCATTTTTGTGTGACCTGAATATAAGGATGGAGTTCTTTGGAGTATTCATTGTATGGGCTGAACATGACCTGGAACTCTATGGAGCACGTCTTGTATGACCTGAGTATGAGCCAAAACTCTATGGAGAATGTGTTGAGTGGCTGAATATATGATGAGGCTCTATGGATCATATTTTATATGAGCTAGAGTTGTTATGATATGAATATGAGATTGAACTTTATGGAGCATATCTTGTATGAGCTGAATATGAGTTGGAGCTCTGTTGAGCTTGCCTTGTATGAGCTAAAAATGAGCTGATGTTCTGTGGGGCATATCTGATGAGCTGGAGCTCTTTGGATCATATTGTATATGAGCTAGAGTACTGTGGACATGTTGTTTATGATCTGAATATGAAATGAAACTTCATGGAGGATATTTTGGATGAGCTGAATATGAGTTGGAGCTCTATTGAGCTTGCCTTGCATAAGCTGTATATGAGCTGGTGTTCTGTGGAGCATATCTTGTATGAGCTGGAGCTCTGTGGATCATATCTTATATGAGCTAGAGATCTGTGGACATATCATTTATGATCTGAATATGAGAGGGAGCTTTATAGAGCATATCATGTAAGAGCTGAATATGAGAGGGAGCTCTGTTGAGCACGTCTTCTATGAGCTGAATATGGGCTCCTGATATATAGAGCATATCTTGTATGTAGTATGCTTTACATTTGTGGATGCTCAGTGATGGATTTCTGTGAGAAATCTTATATAGGTTTTTAATCTGTATGAGGCATGTGTTATATGATCAGGAGCTCTCTGACCTAAATATTGATTTGGGTCAATTCTCTATGGACCATATAATTCATAAGCTGAATGTGATCCAAAACTCTTTAAAGTATGTCTTACTATGATTATGAAATAGAAACTCTGGAGCAAATCTTAGTTATCTGAGTATAGCTTTTCACTTGGGGTATAAATTAGTCTACATAAAATGTGACGTATGATCTTGTGTTCTCTTAGACTGAGGCTACATTCACACATGAGCACCATCATCTGCAGTAATTTTTTTGTGGTTTCGTATGTGTTCAGGCATGGGTCTGTCTAGTTTTAGCCAAAGGAAAGCTAGTTATTAGGAGGAGGAGGCGCTCCAGTTTAAGTTTACTGAGGCAGAAGAAGTGCAATCATGACTCAGAGAAGCTTCTGCAGTACAGAATTTTGCAACAGCACATCACTCAGATGTGAATGGGTACAATGGAGTACCATGGAAATCTGGTGTTGAGGGTTATAGTGCTTCCTGATACTTGCCTCAGATTGCTCAGGTGTGAATAGGTCTGAGATGAACAGTGGTGTAATAGTAACATATGCATATCTGCGTGTATGAGATTCACACTATTAATAGTAAATTCTAGGAAGTAATCATCTCAATCTACCTGTTACTGATCCTACGTAGCATCATAAACGTACCCAATTCCACTTATAATAGTAACCACTCAATAACCTTTCAGCAGAACATGAAACAACCAACTACCTATTTTCATTATAAAAGTGGGTTTCTTGCTTTTTGCCAAGGATTAAACACAGTTCAGCAAAGACAGAGTGAGGTTAAGACTCCAGCTGTAATATTCCAACAGGAGGTCTTCTTCACATTTCAAGAAATTCCTTGTGGTTTACAAGGCTGTTCCTTAGTCGCCCCCTTTTGGCAGAAAGGAAAATGAATTTCAAACTAAACCTTGCGGGAATCAGGCACTTTTAGATAGCCAGTCATCAATGATTTGAAGCAAGCAGTGTATTATTATATAGAAAAAAGCCTCAGTAGTACTGATTGGAGAATTACAGTTTCCCAATATTAAATACTTCTTTTCTAAAAATGTTAGAATTATTTTTTGCCTTTTTTCCCCCGTGTCCCTATGTTTTTATCTTACATATCATTTTGTATTTATTTTCGATTATATTACGTTTACCGTATATTATTTTATATTACTATACTTTGTCTAAATTTTTTGTTTTGTATTTTTTATTGTTGATTTTTATTGTTGCTTTTATTTTTATTATATTAGTTGTTTGTTATAATTGGATTATTTTGGTAAAATTGCACGGTTTCTGTATATGTTTTAATGTTTTGTTGAGTAATCTATGTTTTTGCTTTACTTTTCTCCCATACAGGGCTACCAGATACCCAAAGGCTGGAGTGTCATGTACAGTATTCGAGACACCCATGAAACTGCTGCAATTTATCAAAATGCTGAATCCTTCGACCCCGACCGTTTCAATGCAGAAAAAGAGGAAAGCAAAGCTAGTAGATTCAACTACATTCCCTTTGGTGGTGGAGTCCGAAGTTGCATTGGCAAAGAATTGGCACAAATCATACTGAAGATTCTTGCCATTGAGCTGGTAGGCACTGCCCAGTGGGAGCTGGCCACCCCAAATTTCCCAAAAATGCAGACTGTTCCCATAGTACACCCTGTAGATGGACTTCACCTCTTCTTCCGATTTTTACGTTCCAGTGACAATAATACAGCATCAGAAAGTTTATGATCACTTCACCTAACCAATGTCCAGGAATGCTTCTAACACTTAAATTATTTTATTGGAGATTCCCAACAGGGTGTCTGTACTATCTGTAATGTAGCTAAAGAGAGATTATATTATTTATAATGTAATATTTATATGTCAGCTAGCTATTAAAAAAAGGATATGGGTAATGATGAGCTATGTAAAAAAAAAAAAAAAAAATTTTGATTGTGTATTTTCTTTTCCATTATAAGGAAATAGCCCCATAATAAACCATTAAACTTTTTTATGAATCTGTCTTGAAATAACTAAAAATATGAAGTATGTAAATTGAACCCTAAGGTATGCAGGAAAACAACAGTACACCTATACAGTACATACATGCTGATTACCCCGTGTTTTATCTATTTAGCTGCTTGTTAACAGCTTAACTCATACCTGCAGCAGCAAGGTGGGTGGGCCTAACGCCCATGTCCTGCACATGCACGTTCACTGAGCCCCCCTAGCACACTGATGGAGAACTACAGAAAATCTCCTCTGTAAATTATTGAGATGAAGAGAGAGAGTGGTTATCTATAGTCCAGCGAAAGAGAACTGGGAAGGCCTGGCCAGCTTGGGCTTTCGGTGCAGAAAAGGCAGCTCACACAGGAAGCTAGGAGCACACTGGGTTTCTAGAAGATCAATAGACATTTTTTGTACTTACAGCAGGGATAAAACATGGTTAGATGTCCATTATAGATATGTACTGATTTTTTTTTTCAATTTTGTCCAGACATACACATTTAGCCATACTCTACTTATCTCACTGATATTTGTATGTTTATCTTAAAGTACAACTCTGGGCAGAAAAAAAAGATCCCTTGTAGAGGGGCTGTGACAACACTGCAAGGGTTAATTGCTTGTTTTTTCTAGAGCAGAGTAAAAGCACTTTTACTTACTCAATCCTCCAATCCCCTGGCAGACATCGCTCCCTCACAATCCAGCAGTGGACTGTTTTTCGGTGTCCTCATGTCCACAGAAGGGCTGCAGACCCTGCTATATTCTTGATGACACTAAGACTCTAGACCACTGAAGTGTAAGGGTGTAGAAGCTGTGGGGACCAGTCTAGTTGTGGGGAGCAGCAGAAGATCTGTTAAGTTTATCTCCTTTCATTGTTCCCTTAGACCAGGGGTCTCCAAACTTTCTAAGCAAAGGGTCAGTTTACTGTCTGGCTTCAGGGGGGGACGGACTTTGGCCAGTGGGAGTAGAAAATGCCACAGCATCAATGCCCTATCATTGTTTTTTAATGGGAGGTATAGTGCCTCATTGTTGGTATGAATGGAAAGAATAGTGCCCCATTTATGGAGTCAGTAGGGGGAATGGTGCCCCACCATTGGTGTCAGTTGGTGAAATAGTGCCCCAAGGGCAGGATAAAGGCAAGCAAAGGGCCACATCCAGCCCCAAGGCCACAGTTTGGAGACCACTGCCCTAGACTAACTGAGCAATTAACCCTTGTAGCGTGGGCACACCCCCACTGTAAGGAATCATTTTTTTTATTTGCTCAGAGTTGGGCTAGAAAAAAAAAAAAAAAAAAAAAAAAAAAAAAAAAAAAAAAAAAAAAAAAAAAATCGCAGAAAATATCTTTAATGCAAAAACCTTTTTTAAGTTGAACAGACACCCGCTAAAATCTCAGCTCCACGGGTTCAATATTCACCATCCAGGGGCAGACTGACCATTTGGAAACTCGGGCACTGCCCGAGGGCCCGGGGTCAGTAGGGGGCCCCATGAGATGCCCCTGGTACCTTTTTCATAGGCTTTTTTAAGTTTGGGCAAGGACACAGGGGCCCTATGATCCCCTATTGCCCGGGGGCCCAATGAGTTGTCAGTCCGCCCTGTCACCATCTTAACATTTTTTTTCTATCATGGAGCCCCACATTAAAATATATAGGCAATTGGCGATCTTTCATCACTGGGATATTGTGGGAGGGAATGTGCATCTCCTGGAGTAAGGTCACCTGAGCTCTCAGCTTACAGAAGTTAATGAGTATCATTCTCCATTCCTCTGGGCTGGCAAGGCCACAAACATTAACTGACGCTATCCGAATTGAGAATATCACAGTGCTGGAAGTCGTGGAGTTTGACCTGGAAAGAGTCAGTGGTGCTGCTGTTGGACAAGTGATTCTCTCTCAAATAGAGAGGTAACAGTTTACTGATGGAGGCCAATGGAGAGAGTAGAGTTAGGAGAAGGTCTGCTAATCCCACCTGGCAGGGGAAAAGGAGAAAGGGCGTGAGTCCAGGGAAAGGACAGAAAAATAAGATTGCTTTGTGAAGAGCAAAAGTAGAAAAAGAAAAGTTGAAAAAAAGCAGACAATAGGCTACAGAGGACCAACGGGAAGTTGTAGGGGAGTGAGGAAATCTCACTATCCTTGGGCCATACCAGCCTGAGATCAGGGAAAGCCTAAGTGAGGGAAGTGGGGCGAGGAAAATACCTAGCCTGTACATCCGATAAATAATATTGAATGTGAACATTGCTATTTGGGAATAACTCTGTGACACATAAACACATGGCAGAATAAAACAAGAACAAAAATGTTCAATATTCGATAGTTCGATAAGTCCAAACAGAACAGCAGTGAAGCATATCAGGATCAATGAGTCACAGACCTCAATATACTGCAACGGTTAAAGTATATGTAAACCCTCACCTTGATACAGTTTAAAAAAGAAATGAAAGGCAAAACATTTGTGTATAGATATAAAAAAAAACATTATAAATACTTTTTTTTATCCTTTTTTATAAGTGATCACAAGGGTGTGGAAATTTTTGGAAAAAACTACTTGTCCAGGGACTAAATCGGTGCCCCAATCTACTTGTCCCTCATGACAATCTACTTGTCCAGATAAAAAATAAAGACATTTTAACCAAAACCGTATTTAAATCGGAAGTGATTTTAGGAATATCAGGGGCTATTAAAAATAAAAGGAGCTTTATGGCGACTTAAATGTGTAATATTTTTAACATTGCGCTGTTTATCTCCTCCTCCCCTCCCTCCCTGTCTCCAGCAATGCACCCGGGGACTAGCAGGGAGGGGAGAGACTCTGCAGTGTAATGAGCACCGTTTGGCTGCTCCTCAGGAAAGGAGAGTGTCGGGCTTATCCTTTATCCCTTTCACTGCAGGGCCGTTTTTGCATTTTTTGCACAAGATTAAAAAGTAATATTAGGCCTGAAGATTACATAAAACCCCCAAACATGATATATTTCCTGAAAGCAGAGACCCTAGAGAATTAAGTATTGGTAGTTCCAATTTTTTATGTTGCATGATATTACCGCAAAATTTCAGTAAAAAATATAAGTAAGTTAATTTTAGGGCTCAAAAAAGCAATAAATTATCCTATTTTTTTGTAAAATATAAAAGATGAGGTTACACCGAGTAAATAGATATCCAACATGTCAAACCTTAAATTTGTGTGCACTCAAGAAATGGTGACAAACTTCAGTACCCTATATTTTCTATAGGTGACACTTTTAAAGCTCCTTATAGGTCATCAGTTTAGCATTACATAGGAGGTCTGCTGCTAGAATTATTGTTCTCATTCTCGCTTGCATGGCGATATGTGACATGTGTATTGCAATCAACGTTTTCATGTATGGGCTTTCCTCAGCATGTGCTTTTATGTTTTTACGTGCGTATATGTGGGGGGGGCACAATTTTTATGGGGGGGATGTTATGTGCTTGGGTGTAACTTTAATTTTTTACAATAAAGAAAACTTTTTTTTTTCAATCACTCAGGGGACAAAGTTCCCTATGTGATGATTTTTGGTGACAGGTTCTCTTTATTGAGACCATGGATGTTTCCCCTGAATGTAATGCAGTGCACATCGCACCGCATTACATTCATTCTTTCCCAGCCTCCATGGCCAGAAATCTCTCAATGGGGACCCGGCCGTAACATCATAAGTTACATTATCACTTCCAGGTCAGGACAAGAAGGGGAGGGGAGCAGACGTGTCCGCTTTCCTCCCTCCCCTGTAGCTGATGGCTGTGAGCCAGTCCCGGGCCCGCAGATGAGCAAGTGGAGCCTGGGAGACCTCACGGGGGTGGGGGTTGATACTGTGTGGAAGCAATCAGTGGCAGCGCTGCCACCTGAATGCTTCCACCTGACAGGTAACAAAGAACGACCTGCCCAGCGCCCAAAACTACATGTCCCGGGCATCAGGCGATATGAATTCAACATCCCTGGATAACATACCCTCTGTTCGCAGCTGCATAAGTAGCTCAAAGAGGTGGGGCAACAGTACACTGGTCTTCCCAGTGAATGGCTGTGCGGGTAAGGAGGGGGGGTCTGTCAGGACAAGTATAATCATTGGAGGAAAGCAGACTGAGTTCTCAGCACAGCTAGAGAACTGACCACACTGTGTTCTCAAGGCTAGATCAGGTAAGATCAGGTTTTAATAGGAAACAGGGAATGGCAGGAACAGGAAGCAATACAAAGAGGACAGGATACTTTCTCATACAAGTATGTGGTATAGCTGGCACATATCAGGAATATGAAATATTGATTTTACATATTTTTTAACTCCTTGACGCTAACAGTACACAAATATGCGGCCTCTTGGTTCATGATGCAGAGAGGCCGCATATTTGTGTAACCAATAAACAAACATGTCCCTGCACATTTACCGACTCCTCATGGAAAGGTCCCAATCGCTATTTGCGATCGGGAGCTTTCTGATCATGTGACCGCTGTGACAGCTAATCACAGCAGTCACATGACCTTAAACCTCTCCCCACCTCCTGACTGCACAAACCATTTAAAGGGCTTGGAGGCGCCAAGGGATTAATTCTGAAAGGGGACTGTGAGATCTTAACATTCTTTTATGAACAATCTTTTTTTCAGACAACTGTTGGCAGAAAAAAATCAACCAGTAGAGGTGGAATTTTAGGAACACTTTTGCATGTTTATTTTCCATTCTAAGATAGAGGGTGTGTACAGGGGCGGACTGACCATTTGAAAACTCGGCCACTGCCCGAGGGCCTGGGGTCAGTAGGGGGCCCCATGAGATGCCCCTGGTACCTTTTTCATGGGATTTTTTGAGTTTTGGCAAGGACACAGGGGCCCCATTAACCCCTATTGCCGGGGGCCCCATGAGTTGTCAGTCAGCCCCTGGGTGTGTACACATTACCCAGGCATATTTACTGTACACAGAAGTGTTGTTTCAATATTACCTGACACTGATGCATGTGTATTTTGAGAATATTGGATTTTTTGGGGAGGAAATTGCAACTGTATATGTAACAATGGCTTTGACCCACCAAGCTGCAATAGCGCTTAAAGCTAAACTTTAGTCAAAAATAAGTGTTGCAGAAATCATGCATAAAGCGTTACTAAACCCACAACAGTAAGATCAATTTTATATATGCAGTAAAGCATCCTTGCCTCCTGATAAGACCATATCCTGTGGAGTCATTCTGCACATGCTCAGTTTGGTGCGTATTGCTAGAGTTTTTTTTTTTCCTTCTTGGGAGAGTGCATGTGGTCAGCATAGGGCCAATCAGCACTGTCCAGACAGAGGTCAGGGGTCCTGCATTCTCCTAGAGCAGAATGAAAACTCCTCCTACAAGCTTTAACATGTGCTCTGTTTGACACTGATAGAAGTCACAAGACTGCTTTAACTGCTGATGAGGGAAGGTATTTAGCAGTTTATATTTACTAAAATAATTGAACTTCCATGTTGTGTGTACCATGGGAACCAGATATAGTGGACACAGGGTCCTGGGTTTGGTAACACTTTAGGAATCCTGGTATTTACATAGGTAAGCTGTTTTTTTTTGTCCATCATCTGGTTTGTATTGTAATGATTTTGGGTCCCAGCAGTTTTATGCATGTGCTTCAGATTGGGTATTGCTGAAATAGGGCCATTAGCTCTAAATGCCGGGATGATGTAAAAATTCTACAAAACTCTCTAGCATTTAGACACAATCTCTCAAGATTTTGGCCATCACATAGCGTGTGTTCTTTGCTCAGTGTATAGCTTGTGTATAGTTTACCACTCACAGTATACAATGTACAGAACAAGCTTCTCTTTTAGTTTTCACTCCATATGTGCATGTTATGCCACAATATCATCAAAGGGCGAGGCTGGAGATCAGAAAAACGTTCTAGTAAATATGGCCCCAAAAGTAATGTGGACGGAAAAAGATCCAGAAACCTTTTCAGCAGAAGAAAAAGAAACCTCATTGTAAGTTATTTATGGAGTAATTGTCTTTGGCACTGAACCTTTCCCACCACCCAGTGTAGTAAGATCCAAAAATAAAAACAAAAAAAACCCTACAGTTGCTCTTTAAGGCACCCTTTAGTGCCTTTTATTCTATTTTATTGTGCATTAAATGTCATTTTAGAAAACCCCACCCTAAACTTCTTTTTCAAGTTGCATTACAGCCTGATAAGTCAGGACCAATGTTATGTATGAAAGATCTGTACAAAAGATCAATTAGAAACCTGGTAAGCATCTACATATAAAAACACAAATATTAATTGAGAAAAGAAAGTGCTACTCATGCTAAAAGATTTGCATTCTAACAAAAAATAAAGGCATCTACATGTTATTCAATTATTTGTATATCTTTCCTGGTGATTGCACCCGGTGATGTACGACCACTACATCTTAAACACAATGTTATTGAAAAAATGATTCTACCAGTCAAACTTTATGACAGCTTTGAAACAAATGTAGCGAATATTAGAATCTAATGTTATGAGTTAACTGTATTACGAGACTAAATGTTCCTGATAACACAGAACTTCTCATACTCAACTCTCAGGCTGAACAAGAGAAAATCAAATGAGTCTCCCATCCAAGCTAAACAGCATGAATGGAAGAATCAGATATTTCTCCTGAACAGTGACTGCATATTTGCAATTGCTATTTGGCCAATAATTTTCCACCAAACTCAGTCAATTTTGAAATTGACTTTTATTGAGCCAGTTGTTACTTGCAGGGCTGCCCATGTCTAATTTTGCAGCCAGTTCAGCATTAATTGGCCAAAATTTGAACAGTTTATGGGGGCCTTAGGACTCACCTTGCCCTAAAATGGCTATTAAGATGCCAATGGATTTAATTCACTAACGGAATTCACTTCAGTCTGTCCTAGCAGAAATCTTTTTATTAAAACAACCCCATGAAGGTTCACTGAAGTATTTCCATATCTCAGCCTTTTTTAAATATTGGAACATTTTTATGAATCTACATAAGTTTATTCATTACATTCTGATTAAAACAGCATTGAGTCAATATGTGATTTGGATTAATTGGTCTTTTAAAGGTCACATACAAACCAAGAAAAACATTGAAAATAGCCATTTGTTTTAACAGAAGTGCCTGCTAGACTGATCCATAGATAAGATTATTATAAGATTCACACCACAACACCCCCTCTCAAATATCAACTTTACATGAGAAATAGTAGGAGGGTCTTTGAAAATGACCAAAAACTGTAAAGTAATTTTGGGAACTTTAGAAGGAAAATGACAGACAATAGGGTAACTACACCATAACACATATTTGGATGGTAGAAATACTTTGGAGGCACAGTAGGTTGGTATCTGTTTTTTTTTGTTATTCATTAAACATGTTACATTGTTACATAGTTAGTCTGGCTCAAAAAAGACAACAGTCCATCCAGTTGTGCCCCACACACACCACTGCCACCAGCCCGTCACATCTTGATATCCGACTGTCAAGCATTTGTATATATCATGGTGATAAATATTATATTAATGACATAATAAATGCTATAATGGAAGAACTAGCAGTAGAAACATTTTGGCACCTATTTACAATATTCCAAATGATAGAGGATGTAAAATTGTGAATAAATCTCTGAAATGACAGGCTTCCAAGTATTACTACTCACTTGTGGAAGTATTTGGCAGCTCCCCCTCTAGGTGGGGTCAGTTCAATTTGTCTCACATGGGACATAATCACTTTAAAGTAATTGCTTTGTAAATCCACATTACCATAACTGTAAAATGTAAGGATGTGTTTGCTCTTTGCCTGAATAACAGATAAGCAAATGGGACAAAATGATAGAGACCCCCTACACGGGAGAATGGGATATCCCAGAGAGCCTGCACAGGAACAACTGAAGGCATATGGACATTTATCTTTCCTCATCTACAATATAAAACACTGGATTTAAAAGGTCAAATTCATCCAGATATGAAAATTAGCAGTTCATATGCTTTCCACCTGGCTCTTTGTTTTCTTTTCAAGTTTGAGATCTGACTTGGTTTTAAATGATTCACCAAGAACAGAGATCTATGAATATAAGCCAATCCATTAGATCCAGATAGCCATTGCTTTTTACATTTTAAAAAAAATATTTTTTATTACCAAATTGTAAGATAAGGTCTAGTCCAACCACTCAGTACTTTGTCTGCACAGTGTCCATTTATAGGTGTAGCAGCTACAAGCAGGGGCGGACTGACAACTCATGGGGCCCCCGGGCAATAGGGGATCATGGGGCCCCTGTGTCCTTGCCCAAACTCAAAAAAGCCTATGAAAAAAGGTACCAGGGGCATCTCATGGGGCCCCCTACTGACCCCGGGCTCTTGGGCAGTGCCTGAGTTTCCAAATGGTCAGTCCGCCCCTGGCTACAAGTCATTAGAAGACACGGCATAATGTTAGAACTTGTATTGCCACAGTGGCAGGAAAATCAAAATTTGCCTTTAAGTCATTAAGGATTTCTAAATCCCAGTGCATTTTGGACTTCCATGCCCATTACAAAGTGACAGGTTGCAGGGCGCTGCTTTGGGTTTGTTAAGGTTTTACAAGTCCCAACATCCACTTTCAGTAAAAGTCTTCAAGGAATTGTGGTTCCTGGAAGCATCAGGTTCAAAGGACTCACATTAAAACGAAGTCCTAAGAAGTATAACATTTTATAAAATAGAATAAAAAATACAGATACTGAATATAGTACATGTAAGGGTATAAGAGAAACAAAATGTATGTCTTTGATGGTATTAGGGAAAAATGCAAATGTCAGCAGCTTCTTACTGTGCAGTATTCTTAATAAAATCATAGAACTAGGTAATAATATGCACACATGCTTAAAAGTGTGCATGCCTTAGGACTACATCCTTTAACAAAGTAGACCCTTAATTATTAAAAAAGCCCTTTGATTCACCAAAATAGAAGGGTATTAGGAAACAGTAAATCAATATACTATATTTGCATTTCTCAAAGCAGGTAGTTGAAAAGCACATAAAACACACAACTCAAGCCTTGAAACCATCCAAAATGCCTTCTTTAGGAGGCTGCATAATTAAGATACCTCTGGATCATAGAACTCAAATAAATATAGATTGTGCCGTTAGCCCAGCTGCTTCCTGTAATGCATTAGCAGTTCACCAATTTGGTTTCATATGTTGCTTTTTATGGAAAATCTATACTCTACATGTCTTAATTTAAGGTTTTAGGTCAATTTTATCTTACTTGTATGTTTTTAGATGGTGCTATATCTTTTTTTTTTTACTATTCATATAAAATGTTTATGTCACACATAAGTATATTTGTAACCATGTCACACAGCTCTATCAAGCTTATGCTTTCAAACAATCTCTCACTAACTGAAATAGATATATGGTTTATATTGAAATATGTACAGAACAGAAGAGAGGGGATAGGGAGGTGGAGGCCTTACTCCTCTGACTCCTTTTGCTGGATGTTTAAAATGAGCTTGAGCTATTGGCCTTATATTTTTTCAAAGTACCTACCTATACAAACATAAAAAAAGAGTCTCTAACCACCAGCTGAGAACAGGTAAATCTAAAATACTCATATGCAGTATTTTGTATTCACCGTATTAAAAACAATATGAAAAAAAAATCATGTGTTTTATTATTTAATCCCAAACATACCAAATAAATAAAACATATAAAATATCTCTATATATTCTCTTTAAATGCCATCTCAATACAAAATGGTTTCCCACCAAGGGCGGACTGACCATTTGGAAACTTGGGCACTGCCCGAGGGCCCAGGGTCAGTAGGGGGCCCCATGAGATGCCCCTGGTACCTTTTTCATAGGCTTTTTTGAGTTTGGGCAAGGACACAGGGGCCCCATGAGCCCCTATTGCCCAGGGGCCCCATAATTTGTCAGTCCGCCCGTTTTCCACTCACCTCTAGCTATATAAAAACATTTTCAGGCTAAAACAGTGGCCCACACGAACAGCCAGTCACAAATCTTCTTTCATCTGGTCTGTGGCAGGGGAAGTTCTATCTTGCAATGTCCACAGCTCTTCCTGGTGAAGTGGATGCTATTCATTGACTGACAAGGGTGTTTATACCGGGGTCCTCTAGTATTAAGGTGTCAGCATCATGACATCACAAGGTAAGGAAGAGCAACAAAACTGGCCATCTTCATGGAAAGCATCTAGAAATCACCAATTCCATTTCTGGAGGAAGAGCCTTTGGATGGGAGTAACCTGCCAGTAGATTCAGGTAAGCGATTCTGGGTCTTAGGAATTTTCTATTTTCAATATGAAGACAAGATCAAGAACACAGGGACATGTTTTCAAACTAGCAGGTGGTAAGTTCAAAATTAATCTTAGAAAGTATTATTTTACCTAAAGTGTAGTTGATGCCGGGAATAGATTTTCAGCAGAGGTAGTGAGTCAATCAACAGTAAGTGGATTAAAACATGTTATGGAGCAAACATGGATGTATACTCAGACAAGTTAACAAAAAGAAAACAAAAATCATATATACCTCATAAAAAAAATGGGCCAGACTCGATGAACCACTTGGTCTTTTTTCTGTTGTCACTTTTCTATGTTTCTATGATATTACAGATTGGCTAGGTGTGTATGTTTTTTTCCCCAAAGTTCAGCTTTAAATAAAATTCAGCAATAACAATTGGCATGGTTCGATGATCTTATTATTGGCAAACTATCAGCAACCTCTTCTAAAAACCGGCCATTAAATTTACATTTGATCATTTTAAAGATATTTATTAGTATGTAGTATATTTAAAGGTGTAACTATAGTCATAGAAGACCATGTGACTGCTATAGGGCCTAGGATGGCAATGGCCCAAAATGGCTGGGCTGAAATGAAACCAAATATAATGTGAGAATATTGGGAAAACATTTTAGATAAGATATACAAAGTTCTATTCCTTTTTTCACATTGCTATGGATTTTATTAACTATTGCAGTATTAGTTATTTTAAAACAGCACAATCATAGGTATTATGATTAGATGGAAAACCTCGGACCTATTAAATTTGTTTTTGGGCTCCATTGCACATAGTTATGCATCTGAATAGTTTAACAAATATGATGGTTGTTACCTGAAAAATTCTGTTATCTTTGTTTTTTATTTTCAATGTTCAGGCCACACAACACTGGGGGAAGTCCTATTGAGGAACAAATGCACCAGAGTAGATGTGGACTGGGGTCCATATACATTAACAGGGCCAATCACCTTGATGGGATATAGTAAAGTCCTGATAATTTAAACCTTGTCTTACACATCTATGAATTTGATCCTAGATTGCCTTTGGATGTATGAGTACACTTGTGTCCAGTTGCTTGTGTTCACTATAGATGGTTGTTTGTGTTACGAGGAAACCTGAACAAACAGTAGATGGACAGACTCTTATGCATATTGTTGAAAGTAAGGACATCTGGAAGTACTAACCTGTGCAAAGCACAAGCGGTTTTAACCACTCTCTACCAGGGCAGTTTTAATTTTTTTGCACACGTCAATATCAGCAGAGACCCTGGAGAATAAAATTGCGGTAATTGCAATATTTTATGTCACATGATTTTTGCACAGCTATTTATCAAATGCATATTTTCAGGAATAAATACACTAAAATAAATTTTTGTGCAAACAAACACAATATTATACTCAGTTGTTTGCTAAAATATAAAAGAAGGGGTTGTAAATAGAGTAAATAGATACCAAACATGTCATAAAATGGCAACAAACTAAGGTGCCTAACCTTTTTCCTAGGTGATGCTTTAAAAGCCTTTACAGGTTATCAGTTTAAAGTTTACTTTGAATTATGGCCCTAAAATTATTGCTCTCACTGCATCCTTTGCAGCGATACCTCACGTGTGGTGCAACCACTGTTTACATATATATGCAGGACCTGCATACGCCTTTGCATGTGCGTGTATGTGCAGGGGGGTTGGGTGCTTTTATTTAATTTTATTCACCGCTTTCTGACCGCCCACCTGCAATATACTGCAGTCGGGTGGCAACTACAGGCAAAGCGACGTACACGTACGTTGTCCTGGCTGCACTAACACAGGGGCACGCAGCGCCTCCCCCCCCAGACACAGAAGAATGAAGATCCCGGTGAACAGGAGGTGGTGATCATGTGATCGCTATGCAATCACATGATCAGAATGTAAGCAAAGCTGTTATGAATCAATCTCATTCATAACAGCTCTGCTTCTCCTCCTAGTGAGCTGTGAAGGTCCCACAGCTGTCACATGACACATGGGGTCAATCACAGCACCCTGTACCATGTGACCAGCTCCAGCCAATCACAGATCACTATCTTGAGCTGCCAAAAACCTAACTCATTCATGACAGTCCATGAATGAGTTAGGTTCATGACAGAAAGCTTTGCATTGCAGGAGAAATGATCTTTATTTCTCCTGCAAAGCAAAGTGTAAAAAAAAAAAAAAAAAAAATCCCTGATCATCACCCCCCCCCCCCCCCCACCACCACCACACACACAGTAGTACAATGTCATTATAGTAACATTGTACTATTTTGATATGAACAAATGAAATAAAATTAAAAAAAATAAATAAATAAAAATACCATATTAAGAATTTTTGTGGGCGAGCAGCAGCTCTCGGCAAAGCGACGTAATCTTGCGTTGCTTCTGTTTTGGGGTGTGAACGCGCCTACACCCCGTCGGTCCAGGGAGAGAAGAGAGAACACGGCACTGAGTAAAAGCATTACGTTTTACAAACACACGTTATATTAGCACATTTAGCCCTTTGATTGCCCCTAATAACCCTTTGATCACCACATCGCCCAGCCAGTGCCATTAGTACAGTGTCAGGATAAATAATTTTTCACAGATCACTGTATTACGGCCACTAGCGACATCAGATAGCATCAGGGTCATTAAGTGCCCCACCCAACCAGGGTCGGCTAGCGTTAGATTGCCCGCATACTATCGCACTAACGCTATAGGTCGCTGATCACCGCCATTACTAGTTTAGTGTTTGTACGGATCAATATGATCATGAAGAGAACTATACTAGTACCTGATTAGTATAGTGTCCCCAAAAATGCAGTGTTGTCAGGATCAGCCTTGTTCACTGCCAGCACTAGCGTTTAGCCCCTTCGCTGTTTTTCACTGAACATTTGTACCAATTGATTGTGGGTCAAAGCAATTTATACGCACAACAATACATCACCGACCACCCAAATTCAGCTCTTGCCAGACAATTTGCATGGAAACCTATCACGGTTTCTGAATTTAACATTTTTTGGACCTAACCCTCAACATGGACATTACAAAAAAGAATGAATTGCGGTCATATTGATTCACAGAGCCAATTCATCGTATGCCCATATTCTCTGCTGTTACATATATGCCCAACATGGATTAGCAATGTACTGGTATGTCGCTGGACCTTGAGTGGTTATACCGGGATGATGCTTTCAACTACAGGCATCATCCTGGTAACGTTTTTTTCAGCTGGCGGCCGGCTTTCATGTAAAAGCAATCTTAGTGGCCAGTTAGCTGCTGAATTGTTTTTACGAGCAGCGGGAAGGGACATTCTCCCTTCCTGCCGCCGTCCAGTTTTTTGGCTTTCCTGTCCCACAGGGGAATCCGAGAATGCAACCGACAGATCTGCTGGCTGACCATAGAGCTGATCAAAGACCAGAATAGCTCCAATCATCTCTATAGTCTAAGAAATCCGAAGCTACGAGCATTTCATCACTTCAGTTTCACAGAATATAAACAGCGCCTTTTGTAAATTGGGAAAGCATCTGATTACACCGATCTTGGTGATATCAAATGATGTAAGGGCAGAGGAGATATCTAGAGGCTGGTGGACCCCAGATTTCTCAAAATAGAATACCTGTTAATGCCTATTGCAGTCAGAGGGAATATTTACATTCTCTGTGATAGCAAAAAAAGTGATTAAAAAAGAGTAAGTGACAGTGTAAAAATACTTAAAAAAATGTAAAAAAAGCACCCTTGCCCTTCTACGTGCGCACCTGGGAACGCAAGCGTTGACCCCATGCTGGTATGTAAACAGCAGTTGCACCATGCATGTGAGGTATCGCCGCAAACGTCAGATGGAGGCCAGTAATTTTAGCACTAGACCTCCTGTGTAAATATAAATTGGTGAGCTGTAAAGGCTTTTAAACCCTCGCCTATTGAAAATAAAAATGTATGTAATTTGTTGCCATTGCATGGGCATGCACAATTTGAAAGCATGTCATGTTTGGTATCTATTTACTCAGCATAACATAATCTTTTATATTTTATCAAACAATTGGGCAATATCTTGTGTTTTTGTGCATTAACATTCTAAAAAGTGTATTTTTCCCAAAAGATTTGTGTTTGAAATATCTCTGCGCAAATACTGTGTGACATAAAAAATTTCAACACCCACCGTTTTATTCTGTATGGCCTCTGCCTTAATAAAATATATAATGTTTGGGGGTTCAAAGTAATTTTCTAGAAAAAAAAAAACAGTTTTGTCCTTTGAACAAAAAGTGTGATGTGTGGCATAAGCTTCTAATGTTGGCCCTAAAATGCCAGGATAGTAGAAGCAACCCCTCCAAAGGACCCCTTTTTGGAAAGTAGACCCTCCAAGGTAATTGCTAAGAGGCATGGTATTTTGCAGATCTCATTTGTTGCCACGTTTTTGGAAAACAAAGAAAGAAAACAAACAGTTATTTTTTTCGTTTCTTTTTTTCCTTTTTCAAAACCCTGTGACAAAAAAAATATCTGCAAAATACTCACCATGGCTCTTATCAAATTCCTTGCGGTGTCTACTTTCCAAAAAGTGGTCTTTGGGGGGGGGGGGGGGGGGGGGGTTTGTACTATCCTGGCATTTTAGGGCCTCCAAAACAGTGATAGGTAGTGGGGAAGTGATATAAGGAAATATGCCCTTTGAAAGCTTGGAGGTTGTCATTCATGAGCAATATATCATTAAAGTGACAACTTCATGCAAAAAAAAAAAAAAAAAAGTGTCATTTTCAAAAAATTTGTGGC